CCATCCACAGGCACCCGTGCCAGCTGTGCCAGATGTGCCAGGACCGGCTCGGCAGCTCTGCTCAGGAGCTGCCACATCCCAGATCTCACAGCTCCCTCTGTTGGCATCTGTTCGAACCGATCAGCGAGGATATTAAAAAAGTTGGCAATGTGGGGTTTTTTGTTTTTTTTTTAGCACGATCTCCATGCGGAAGGTGATCGTCTGTTGGGTGTAATTCACCTCCCCTAAGAATCACTTTGTTTGTGTCAGCACTTTTAAAAGGGATCTTGGGTCATGTCTCCTGCTGCTGCACTGACCGCAGCTCTGCTGAARGCAGCTTTTCAGTCATTTTCCCGAAATCAGGGAAAAGATGTAGCTGGATGAACTCCGATGTGCAAGTACACGTGAGGATGCTGTGAAAATCTGCCAGCCCAGATACTCTCCCAGCACGGCCTCCCCCAGGGAATTAATCACATCAAATATACTTCTCTGCCCCTCACTGATCACACAAATTAACACCTCTGCAGTCAGAGGAAAAACACAGTTTGCAAATAATTCGCTGCCTTTATTTTTATTTTTTTTTTAGGTCCTTCCATAACAAAAACTCGCAGACCGCAAGCTTTGGCTTAAACAAATAACAGTACAGAGATGCAAAATGGTTTCAGTACTTCACCAAGGAGGTTCGATGATAATGAAACCTAAGCCTCAAGTGKAGGTCAAATATTTAACTTATTAGCCAGTTCAGAAACAGCCCGCTGGAATGTTCGCTGGATCCACAGAGCAGGCACAGCCAAACACTTYCCTTTGAGGAGCAGTTCCAAATTTCCCAGCTGGCACATCCAAGGGGTTGCCAAACTGCCCCATTCAAATGTGAGTGATTTAAATTCATCAATTCCTCCACAAGAAATGCTGCAGCCACCAAAGAGAACCAGAATTGAATCCTCRTGCCCCTGACCTGCAACACTGAATGGAGTGTGGTGGACAGGGAAAATACTAAAAAAAAACCCACTAAACCTATGGTGTTTTTTTTTTTTTTTCTGGGTCATTAGAAAAAGGCCATGCAAGCAATCTGCTCAGGCTGGACAAAGCTGACAGAGATGGCTGCACAGCCTCGGGCCTCTYTGGCAAGCCTGGCTGTGTTTGTGTTTGCTGTTACTGGGTGTTCTTCCCAATTTAACCACTGATTTTAAGATCCCAGCAGCCTTCCCAGGTCCCAGCTCTGCAGCACCCGGGATACAGGGTCCTACCTATGGTACCAAACTGCCTTTTAGAGAAAAAAAAAAGAGCACAGAAGGAGAAAAAAAAATGCTTTCTTATCTCTCCATCCTCATCAGGCCACATTGATTCTTTATTCTCTTGGGAAGACATCAGGCAGTTGCATCCTTATCTCTAAATCTGCCCGGTAAGTGGCTCAGCTCAGCTCAGTGATCTCCATTAGTGTCTCTGCAATTAAAAGGCTGTCAGTGCTTTCACTACAAACCAGGCTATTCAGAAACTTAGCATGGCTCCAATAGGTCTTCCAAGAAGAAATTTGGCCAAAACAAAAGGTGAGAAAGAGGGTAATCGTTTTTTTGTTTTTTTTTAACCTGAACCTATAGCTTTCCTGCACTGCAGGGTCCTTGGGAAATCTGCTCCTCAGCCTGAATTTTCTGGTAAGGATTAGAGAAACCCAAGACATCCTTTCAGGCTTCAAGGAAGGGGTGGGAGAAGCAATGAATTGCTTTAATATGAAATTCTCGTTTCAAATTGATCCCACAAAACCAAACACTGGAGGCTGGTGGATGTTCCCCTTTGAGAAACAGGGTTGGATTTGGTGGGAGCACCACTCGAAACAAGCATGCAGCATCAGGCCTCAAGTACATAAAATATAGGATTTGGTGCTTAAATTTTAACCTATTTATAAATAACTTAAGACATTCAGGCTCAGAGGTGTCCACAGCCAAGTATTTCCCTCTGACACAGAGAACCACAGGGAGGTGGGTTCCCGGTGCAGAAATTTGATTTATGCTTAACATAAAAACAAAACCTGCCCATGCCAAGCTCTTTGGAAAGTCTCCCTCAGCCCTTTGAGAGCACGAGGAGGACACATCCAATCATGCAGAAAGCATTTGGGAGCTGTAGATCCACAGCACAGAGTGTGACTGGCTCTTCCCATGCATCCACAGCATCTGACAAAACAGCTCCAGGGAGATTCCTCTGCTGCTGCTGCACTGCAAGGTCAGCCCAGCTCAGCTCKGATCTCATGGTGGAGCTGCTCCACCTGGGCTCAGGGATGGGGTGAAGCCATCAGGGAGAGGAGGSAGAGCTCAAGTCTTTGAGCAAAGCCAGCTTGGCTCGGTGCCCTGAGCTCAGTGTCACCTCCAGGCTTGGTGACAGCAGCACTGACACAGCCCTGGACCCACGGCACACAAAAACCCCTGAAGGGAAGCCTGGGATTCACCTCACAGCCCTGCTAACCTGGATGGAGCTGCTGAGAGGATGAAGGACGAAGGCACACGCGGGGGTTGAGGTCAGAGGTCCTGTGGGGATGTCCCTTCCACACCTCAGAGGACACGGTGGCACAGCAGCYCCAGGACAGCAGAGCAAGGGGCTCCACTCCCCTCAGCAGGGCATGGAACCACAGCAGCCTTGGGCTACAGCCATGAGAGCTGCTTTGGCCACATGGGTGTGTGTCCACTGGACACAGACTGGGACAAACTGGTGCCACAGACCGTATCCTCACTGCAGATGTTGAGCTGGATGGCTCTGCAAGCCACCAGCTACGCCCTGAGCAAAAAAAATGAACTCTAAATTCCTTTTCTCCCATGGGTTCCATCCAGACCCATTATGTACTCGGTTTCAGCACTCTTTTTTTCCTGTTAAAACACCTAAAAACAAACCAAAAAAAAGAAGTTCTTTGGCACTTTGCAAGAACGACCCATAGATGTGACATTCTCCTGTCCTTCAGCTGCTYCCTGGGCTCATCCCTAGAGATCCACGTACACAGAGTCCGTGTCCACCCTCTGGGCCTCTCCAAACAGGAGGAATGTGCAGAGCCCAATGCTGTTCACAGCAGCCACCAGGTTGAAAACAGAATTCCAGGAGCCCGTGGTCTCAATCAGGCACCCAGCCAGGTACACACAGATCACACCTGCACCCAGAGGGAAGAGAAAAACATGCAAAAGCTCAGGGCTGGATGCTGCCCAATGTGGGGAGAGGCTCCCCAGGAAAGGAGGAGCTGCAGGGAGGTATTTTACCTAGGAGGGCTCCACCTGTATTGGCAACCCCTGGAAGGGAGAGAAAGAAACAGTGAAAAGAAATTGTGGAAACCCACAGGTACCAGTGGCTTTGTCATGGTTCCCACAAACTCCCTGTCTGCACATTGGGCAAAATGCCTTTCTGATCACAGAATCACAGCCTGGTTTGGGTGGGGATGGATTTAAAGCTCATCTCATTCCACCCCCCAGCCATGAGCAGAGACATCACACACCAGCCCTACTCCAAGGCCTGTCCAGCTTGACCCTGAACATTTCCATGGATGGGGCAGCCACAGCTTCTCTGGGCAGCTGCAGAGACCACTGGCACCCCCTGAGCCCATCCCTGGGTGTGCTGAGCTCCTGACTGATCTAAAAAAGGCACTTCGGTGCTGTTATCTGCCCCCAGCAGTGGCACAGAAGGAGCTGAGACTGCACACACMGAGCAGACACTCAAAGCTGCTCAAACCCTGATGCTGGTGACCATGTTCCCCTCACAATTGCCACCTGTCTAGCATAGAAACCCCACAGAATCCTTACCAAACAGCAAGCCAGCACACGAGGGGGCCAGGTCCTGCACGTTCACTGAAATGCCACTGGTGAGAAACAGAGCAGGGAAAATAAATGGCAGTTTGAATGGAACACGACTGCTTTCCATCATTTACACAATTTGCTTTGTCAGACACAAGGTCCTGGACAAGAAATGGCAGAAGAAAGAAGAAGCTGAGAGTGAAGCAAGTATCAGAAAGAAAACAATTCAACTCAAAGTGTTCAGAGGGACCAAAATGCAATTCCCCTCCTGCTCCATCTCCCTGACACCGGCTGCTCYGAGCCCTTCCCCATGGCAGAGGGGAAGGATCATTGCTGGATCWTTGCTGGATCATTTCCACAGGGCCCTGAACTCCCCCAGCCTCACAGGATCCCCAACACAACACTCAGACAAGTGCCAGTTCTTGCTCTCCGTCAGGATGGAGGCTCCTCCAAGAGCCCAAAGTGTCAGGAGAGCTCCTCTCTGTCCCCAGGGCTCTCCTCACCTGTGGTTAAAGGTCTGCAGTCCAACAGARGCCGAGGCAAACACAATTGCTTTGCAGAAACTGGAGGTCTGGCCCAGGCACAAAGCAAAAATGCTTGAGACGCCAGAGCCAATGACCTGGAAAAAAGGGAAAATTAAACACCACAGCACATTGTCTGTAAGGAAGAAAGCAGCTCCTGCCACGAACAAACTGTTCCATTTTCCAATGGCATGAGTTTGTGTGCACCAGGTGCTTCTGGCTTTTTTCTCCAGTGTCCTTGTGTGTCAGAGGTCTGTCCAGAGGGATGCAATGCTGTGGAGCAGAGGATACACTGTGTTCTCACCCAATAGCATTTCTATTTCTGTTCACCCCTGTATTGCCGCTTCCTCAGTATCTGAGGGGTCATTTGGAGTGACCARGGACAGGCTGTGAAAGAAAATCCCTTCAGAGCCCTCACTGTGCTCAGTGTCACCATTGTTCCATGTTCTGCTCCTCAGMCAGAGTTTCCCTCTGGATTTCCTCTCACACATYGATCACCAATCAATATGCAAAGCCWGAAAACCTTTCCTTTTTCCACCTTTAACCCCAACCCAGATTCACACAAAGTCTAGCCTGACACCTAATCAGAGTTTAGCATGCACCTCTCCCACAGCTTCAGCTCTCTTACCTGCATGAACTTACGAATGGTGATGGTTCTGTACCCTGAAAAAAAAAAAAAGGGACAGAGTTAAGCACAGCTCACCTCCTTCTCCAGCCAGGAAACTACAACATAAAGCAGATTTCAGATGTCCAGATTTCATCTCCAGGTGGATATGACAAATCAGATCAAAGGGAGTTCTAAACACGTGGATGGGATTTGTTCACTGGAGAATTTATTCAGCTTTTGTGTCAGAATCTCCCATTGTTTGTTTGCTGGGTCTTCTCCCTACCAACAAGCCACCTCCTCCAACCCAGRTCCTCTCCCCACATCACAGACGAGCTGAGGAAAAGAGCTCTCACCTTGGTTGATTAAATGATCAGACAGAAATCCACTGAACAAGCTTGCTGGAATWGCAACCAGCCAGGGGACTACATTAAACACCCAACCCTGAAAGGAAGCAAAAATCAAGAGATTGGTTACCTGAGCTGAGTTTGTTCACAAATATTTTGAGATAAAATAGAAATTTATGTAGAAAAGAGTATTAATAAGCACTCGGGACTTGTTGTAGCATCTCTGCCCCCTTTGCAGAGCCAACTCCAGCTGCACCCTGCCCTACTCTGAGCTCTGTAAGGGGCAGGTGAACACAGAGATGTAACATCTGCCAATTTGTTGTCTTTCCTTCTTCCCCAGCAATCCTGCATCCAGGAGGGGGGAGCAAAAGACTCTGTGAAAGAGGGACTAAGCATGGCAAAGTTTACTGCTCAGCAGATGATGTGTGGGGAGCCACGGAGCCCTGGGAAGCTCACTGTGGATTTCCTGTGGCTCACCAGCAAAGCTGCTGGCAAAATTTCCACCAGCTTCCAGCTCAGCAGCAGTGTTACTGTGTGAGGCTGAGGCAGCRTAGCTGGATTTTCTAATGGCAGGATTAGGTAACATTATGGGCAGCAACATCCCTCGGCCTATTTTCAATTAAGTGAGCTGCAGCTGTAATCACAGACGATTACTGGTCAGCTGGATTACAGCTGCTCAGGGGCACTCTGGTGCCCAGATCCCACAGGAGCTGCACTCAGAGTGGGCTGGATTTCACCCTCAGCTGCTTGAACCCACTCATCCATCCATGCATCCATCCCTCAGCTCAGAGCCATCATCCTGCAGAGGAATCTCCCCTTCCTGTCTGGTTTTGGGATGTRTGGGAGGGCTGAATGATCTTGGTTTTGAGTAATCCTGTTAATGCTGGAAATCACAGCATCTTTCCACRCTTTTGAAATTTGGGTCCTGGTCGTTTTTGACAATATTACCCCATGTGGTTTTTGGGGTAGCACCCATTTAACAGCAGCTGGGGCTGCTCAGCACATCAATCCCGATTTTTTCTCATCCCAACACCTTGAACCAAACCCTCCATCACCTTCAGGTGGCCACGGGCAGCTGCCCAGCTCACCTGCAGAAAGGATTTCAGCCAGCAGGTGACACAGGCTCCCCACATTAGGGATTCCCATCCATCCTTTAAAGCCAAGCAGCCTCAGAGCCCATTTCTAAACAGCCCAGAGCGATTATCAGCTGCAGGAGCACTATATAGAGCATCTTACATAAGGGCACYGTGATATAATGCCAAACAGATGGTAAATTACTGCTGCACAAGCACATTACTCGAGGTGCACAGATCTTGTCACAACAATATGTTTGCTGGTTTAACACATGATTTTAATATAAATATCAAGTATGCCATAAAGAGCTTTACATGTCTAATGTGAAAAGGCATTTGTAAGCAGCTCTGGAAATTGTAAAAGCCTAACAGAGTCATTGTGGAAAAGACTGTGAGTTTCTGAGAAACAGAGGAAAATACCAGATCTCAGACCAGATGAGTGTTGCCTGGTTTTCTGAAAAAAAGGGAATATCATATCATGAAGGGAGGGAAGCTTTTGTAGTTTTGAAATATGCACTATTAGTGGTAATTATCATTTTCATAAACAGGTCTGACTGTACAATGTCAGTCCAGTTAAAAACCATGGACAAAACCCAGAGAGAATGGTGGTTATTTGCAACAGCATAATGCCAYGAGCTTTGTGCCAGTTGAAAACCATTCTTTCCTCAGAAGAAAAGCAGCCTAAAACCCGATATAACCTGCTCTTCCCTACCTGGAGAGTGCCCCAGCTCTGCAACCCTTCAGCATCCCTAAAAAAGCAACCAGAAAGCAACTTCTGCAACCTGGAGAGATCCCAAAAATGTGTGCAGGGGTGCCTCAGCTCTTAACCCMGCAGRGAAACCTCCCACCCYCTCCTGCCTCTCCCCYTGCACTCAGAGAATCCCTCTGCCATCCTCTTCCTTCCTCTCCAACCCTTTTAGCAGGTACCCAGCACATCCTGCCCTGAACAGTGGTGCCTCTGCTCCAGAACCATCCTACCTTCGACTCGGGAAAAGTTTCCTTAAAGAAAGTTGGCAGCCAGGAGAGGAGAGTGAAGAASGTGCTGGCCGTGGAGAGCTGGGCAATAATGACAGCCCTGGAAACACACAGGAGAGAGAAAAAAATCAGCACTGACAGCTCACACAGGGTGGGAAATGGAGCACTCAAAAAACTCGGGATTTCAGTTCCCAACAGAAATCCCCCCGCAGCTGAGATTTTTATCACAGAGAACTACTCCTTTTGGCTTCCTGAGATTTTTGTCATGGACAGCTACTCCTTTTGGCTTCCTGAGGCTTTTTTTTTTATCACAGATAACCACTCCTCGTGGCTTCCTCCTTGCAGCTCGTTCCTTCTCTGCCCCATGGCACAGCCCCGGGGCCAGGMGAGGTTAATTGAAGCGCTAATTGTTCCACTGCATTTCCCACCGGTGCCTTCCAGCCCTGCAAGAGCCCTCCTGCTGCTTTGAGAGGCGTTGTTTAGGGTTTTCTAGGGATTTGTTATCAGCTCCATTGTTATTCAAGGCAGGAATGGGTTTGCTGCCCTGCAGCCCCATCATCCTCCTCCTCCTCCTCGCCTTAAAACAGCCCTTGGGAAGGCTTGGATGAGCTTTAATACCCACTGCAGCATCCCAAAGGAARGATGGCCATTAAAAGGATGTTTGCCAGCAATGAGAACACAGCCTGTGCCACCCAGTGCCCCTGAGCAGCACTTCTTAGAGCCCATTACAATCAGCATTTCTAACAAGACCCGTGGAAAATATCAGGACTCATCCATGGGGAACAGCCCGGGAAAGGGGAAAGTTTTGMCAGTAATTTGAGCCTGGCAGTCCTCTGGACAGAACATAAAATACCTTCGGCTTATCTTTTTAGTTCCTTATTTACACAGAAGGAATTAGAAAACTGGTTCTGTTTCCTGAATGTATAAATAAGTGGACAAAAATCACAGGCAGAAGAAATAAGCCCAGAGAGGAGAAGAAGATGCTCCCATGCATGCAGCTGCCTACCAGATCGGTGCCTTCCTGAACAGCTGCTTCCAGGGAACTTTGGTCTGCTTGGATATCGAGAGGCTTCTCGTTAAAWAATCTATGGGGATGATGAGTTCTGCAGGGAAGAAAACACCCAAAGGAAAGCTCTGGTCAGTGTGCAGCTGGGACACTTCTGTACAGCCCTGGAACACTGTTGTACAGCCACTTTTAATCTCCTTCTAACCCTCGGTGGTTTTGGCTCTACCAGCATGGAATGCTCATGAAAATCCCTTATTATACCGACCAAAATTTTTCCATACCTCTCCTCATCCAGCCACGTTCACCCACATTATATCTCTTCTACAATTAACCAGAAGTCCCTTTGCAGGGACCAGGTTTGGATTCTGTGCAGCACCAGGCACACWCACAGTTCCCAGTGAGCTGGGCTCYCACACACCACAYTCGCCCTAATAATGCTRTAGCCAGGTGCAWTGCTTTGTCCATATGTGGAATTACTATTACAGTTATTTGGGAAGAGATATTGTGGATTAACTGGTTTTTAAAGGCTCTATGTGTAGATGCTCTTAGTTTGGAGTAAGTATCTTGTCCTGCTTTAGCTTAATCCACTTTGAAGATCATGCTCTGTTTTGTGTTTTCACTGGTGCTTAAAGAGTACTGAGGAGCCAGATCAGGCTSTCAGCAATAATATAATCCAGTGTGGGACTTGAAATAGGAAATCACTGCAAGAGCTCAAATCCTCRTTTTTGGGTTGGGGATCTTGTATGAGACACAGTTTGTATTTATTATATAGGACATCTGAACAAAAGGCCTTTGTGTAAAACCAGGCGTGATCCTGGAAACACACACTATTTCCAGAAAATATTGGAGAGAAATCCCTTCRTTCCCAGACCCTCAGGAGCACTGTGAGCCCCAAGGATTCAGCTGGACTCACCTTTCTCACTCAGGAGGTATTTGCAGGTGCAATAAACCCAGAGCAAAGTGAGCAAACCGGAGAAGTAGAAAACACTTTCCCAGCCGTACCAGTCCAGGAGGAGAGACCCTGCACCACCGATCACCAGCGTTCTGCAAGAGAAACCCTTGGATTTACTGRCCTGGCTGAAGAGYTTGGAGTGCACATCCWTGGGAGWCTCCCTGGGGTCAACACTGCTGTCACKGAACYACAGAATMCTAAAATAGTTTGGGTTGGAAGGGAYYTTAAAGCTCATCTCATTCCACCCCCAGCCATGGACAGGGACACCTTCCACTGTCTCAGAGTGCTCCAAGCYCTGTCCTGGCCTTTGACACCCCCAGGGATGRGGAAACCACAGCTTCTCTGGACACCCTGTGCCAGGGCCTSAGCACCCTCACAGGGGAGAATTTCTCAGTTACTGCAACTGTGTGGGTGCTGCCACCAATCCCASCATGGCTCTGCAATCTGTCCTGCTCCCTGAGAGGCATCTCAGGCCAGATCCTCTCTGGCAGGAAAAATCCCAAAGGGACCTCATCCTTACTGAAACATGGTAATCAAGGAAAGAAAAGGATGTTGTTGGTGTGCAGTATGCCAGAGAATGTGTGAAACAGCAAAAGAAATGAGCACACTGAAAAACTAAGTGATTCAACAGAGTAATATTCCTATTTGGCTTTTACTTAACCCTTCCAATTAGAAAGGAAATTCTGATGGAGATTAGTAGAGTTGGAGAAGTTTTATTCTTCCCATCAGAGAGGAGAGGTGACCAGTGTCAGCCTGACCCTCACTCCTCCATTGAACAGAGCTGTTTCCCATAGTAATTAAATGTTGCAAACAGTCTTCAAAGTCTGGTTTGAAAAGAAAGAGAAAACAATACATAAATCCTTGACAGGCACGACAGCAACTGCCTGAGGCTTCCTCAGCTGCAGCCCTGGAGGACCCGTGAAATCCACATGTACTTTGGGCTGTGAGTTTTGCCTCCAACTATTTAATGGCATTTCATCACACAGCATGTCCAGAGAGTGCCACTCGCTGCTCAGAGGTTTGAGCTCACCCAAACTGTGATCCTGTCCCCACCGTGCTGTAGGTGAAGGCTCGCTCGCTCTCCCGGACCCTCTGSGACAGCAGGCTGGCCAGGGATGGGAAATAAACCCCTGAGAGAAACAGGGAGCAGTCAGGCAAACCAAAAACAAATTTTAAATATCCAGCATCAGCTAAGCACTGAGATAAAGCAGTAAAACCTTTGGTGAATTCAAAACAGGGATGTAAAATAAACCAAGTGGATCCATTGCCATCAGAGGTTTGTTTGTGCCTTCTCTGTAATCCCATTTTATCATCACCACTGCTACCACAAATYCATCAGTGCCAATGCACTTCCCAGWGCTGCAGTTTGGCAYRAGGGAAGGAAAATCACACCAAATTACCCACAAGYTTTGGCAAGGGCCAATTTTCTCCGAGTGCTTCAAAGGGGTTTTAAAATGCGGAATATCAAACGGGACCAGGGATGATTTCCAAAGCCAGCAGCCTCTGTCTGGCAGAGAGATCTCTACAGGGGAATGACTTGTCAGTGACTCTCTCTAGAAATGTCACTGTCTTTTTTCCTGTGGAAGTTCTGGATGTGGAGGCAGTTTTGAGGCAGAGAATTGCTCAGACACYCAGGGGAAGGGCTGCAAACCACGGGACTTGAATCTGAATGTGCTTCATGTGAGCCCCTGTGCAAGGAAGGCCCTGAACAGACAGACACACGGATACACTCAACATTGGGCTCTCACCTTGCAGCAGCCCCATGAGGAACCTGGAGGAGGTCATAAAAACCAGATGGGCTGAAGTGATGTGGGTGAGCAGCGGGGTGAGGACTGTGAGGAGCCCCCAGGCTGATGCTGAAAGGAGGAGGACTTTCTCACCTCCTATTCTGGAAGACAGAAAACACAGTTATGGAAGACAGGAGGGCAAAAGGGCAAAGTCCTCCAGTCAGGACTCAAGTGCCCTTTCCAGTTTAGCCTGTTTTTGAGAGCAACCTTTCAGTCAAACCTGTTCTTCTCTTGGCCCTTGGGGAGCAGCTCTGACCTCCTCCTTTCCCACCTCCTGCCAGCACTGCCCATCCCACCCCAGTGATCTCAGAGACCCCACAGCACTGAGCTACTCAACCCTCTGATGGTGATGGAGTGGAAGCCCAACTGCTGCTTTTCTAAACCACTGATGGTGTTTTCCATTTGCTCTTTGCATCAGCTCTGCCTTTTACCATTCAGGTTTTTCTGAATGTTTTCTTGCTATTAACAACCGTAATTAAACAGCACAGTGCACTGCACGGATAATGCACCCCTTCCAGGCATGTGCTCSTCACTAAAGATTTCATGGGAAAGCCCTCTCTCTAAGAATAGATTGGCTGGGGAAAGGGACTCAAGCAGGTAATGATTCAGGTTTTCCCTTGCAGCCAGCTGGGGAAATTGTTTAGTTTTTAATGCATATGATACGACGGAGACACTTGGTTTACCTAAACATGATAGAACAGTGTATGGGGACTTGCTTGAGAAAACACTGCAAGAGAATATAGGGCAGAAAGACTGGAAGTGCTGAACWGAAAACAAAGATCATCTGTGGAGAGCAAATTAAAATAGCTAGAAACACTTCCAGGGRTGAGACATCCACAGCTTCTATCTGGGCAGTCTAAACCACCCACATCCCTCCTCAAATCAGAGTTTCTCCCCATGGACACCTTCACCCTCCACCTCACCACTGTGAAACGTGGCACTGCTAAGGCTGGGGCTGAGGGGTCAAAGAATGATTTCCATTACTGGTCACTGATGTGTCCTCCAATAATCTGTGTCAAGCAGTAGCCCCAGAAGAAGCTGCTGAGCACGATGCCGGACTGCTTCTTGTCCCAGTGGAAGTGGGAGCTGAGGGCGACGGCGCAGATGGGCACGGTGACACGGGCACAGTAGAGCAGRCACGTCCCCAGCAGCAGCATCACTGTCCACACACGGGACTCGGGCCTGCAGGATGGAGAGGAGAGTGGCAAAAGGGTGAGTGTGTGCACAGTTTGGGGGTCAGGATGGTTTGTTTTGCAAGCAGAGTCTGCCTCGATGAAATGAAGGTCAGCACAACCCCTGGGGCACAGCGGCTCTGACACAGAGGGAATCCCACCTGCTGGCTTTCAGGAGTGRTGCCAACTTCATCCCAAACACTGTTTGACCCAGCAGCAGGTCTGTCCACAGGCTGCAAGGTGGAACAGGCTGCTTGGACAGCTGTGCATGGAGGGAAAGGTGGGGACTAACCTGGTTTTTCCCCCCCATCAAACAAAAAACTGTTCTTTGAAAGATAAGGATAACAAAAGAAATGTCAGGGCATGAGGTTGGGAGCAAGAGACACACCTCTTGATAGTAAATACTAGTCATTTGGCATTCCTACCCACTCCCCAGGACTACTGGTATGTGTGTTACCCTTCCTAAACAGCAGGGATATGCAAAAATTCTGTAGAGACAAGACATGATGGGGCTGAAGAGCTCAGAGGGAAGAGCAAAATAATTCAGCCTGGCCAAATAAGAAACTTTAAATAGTAAGAGTCATTATATGTTAACAGAATATGTATTTTTGGTGCATGAATTCTCAGCCTCAAGAAAAGGGCTGGAAGCAAGTGGGAAGCAATTTTCTCCTTTCTCAGTCAATGATGTGCTTCTGGAGCAAAGAAATACAAACATATTTTGCTGCAAATATCAGGCCCAGGTGCAGGTAAACCCCTCTGCCTTCCCTCAGCCACACCACTCTGGGTCTCCCCTTTGTCAGAGAATTACAGAGTTAAAGCTTAGTAAGAACACCCACTGTTGGTACTGTTTGTATTTGATTATTCCTATGCCCAGAGGCCAGAGCACAAAGCACTGAACAAACAGACTCGCTGTGCCCCACAGGTGACTGAGGAATTCACTGTACCAGGGCAGTAACCTTTGGGCTTTCCACCCTGCTAAACACACCCACTCTCCATGTGGGAAACAGCCCGGGTCACCTTTTACACCCAACAGAGCGTTTATTTCCCTGCACTGGAATTATGATAAATGTGGGTTAATCCCACACAGCACAAACCCATTTATAAAGGTGAAAACGGGCTGTCCCAGGGGCCAGGTGAAGGAACAATGAAAAGCAGAACTAGGCAGGCAGGTGAACCTGCTGGAGGTGGATTTATTGCTGTTTCCTGATGAGGCAGATAAGCAGCTCAGTGCTAACCTCTGGCAGGAGGAACTGGAAGTGTTTCAGTTCGTGTTTAGAAGGTTGGAACTGTTGTTACTGTGCACACGCTCGAGTGCACAAAATAACACAGAACCTGGCAAACCTCACGTATTTGCTGGAGGAATGAGTAACCAGGGGTTCACCTGCCTCAGTCATTTGAAATGACTGGGAAATGCTCTGAGAGTCCCTTCTGGGCTTACCCTGAGAGAAAGATACCTTCAATCTTATCTCCAGCTGCTGCAAAATCAAAGGTGGGTTGGTTTTTAGTCACCAGTTCCAGGAACGGCGGTTCCCACTGACCCCAGTTTGTTACAGAAAAACACAGGGAAACCAAAGGCTTCTGGACAATATGGACAGGAGTTTTTGGGGATAAATCCCCCASTAAAGGCAGAGGGCAGGTGGGGGATCACCAGCCATGGAAAACCTTCCAGAGAGCCCTTCCAGGGACRATTCCTGCCTGCCCTGCCCAAATGGGCTGCTGCCAATCCAGGGCCATAATCTCTCCTGTTATCTGCAGCAGCACAGCACGATAAATTTGAGCTACTGAACCTGCCACAATCAAGGTGACAGAGTAAAGCACAGCAGCCTGTTAACGTGTGGAGGTATTTTCTATTATTTAGCCACCAAGGTAATTTCCTCAATTGTGCTTTTCCCCTGCAGCAAAYGGAGACCTTTATGAGCTTTCACTGGAGTGGGGCCAAGCTCTGCCTCTCCAGTCATTCTGGTGCATTCAGAACCCCGCAGTTACCCTGATAAGCACAGGAACATTTTAATGGGATACCCCATCAACAGTTCTTTCTTTTTTCCTAAACCCTGTATGGCCCTGCAAGGTGTAAAATGGAGAGAAGACCTGAGCATCTCAAGGAGTCTTTACTCCATTTCTCTCAAGAAATTTCCTCTCCAGCTGATGTTCTGACAAAACTCCATGGATATATTTTTCTCTTGACTTTTACTTTTTCTTTCCAAAGCACTAAATAAGTCTCTGGGTATATGAAACACTCTCCATGTTCTCTTTGACTTCTCCTTCAGTCTATATACTCTTCCCACAGGTTTAATAGCATCAGTAGGGATTGTGCTCACAAATGGAGAACACAACGATGGCTTCAGACTGCCTCTTCCTCCGTGGGCACATCCAGCAAGGAAAATCCTCGCAAAGAATATGAGTGTCAAATGTAATCAGTGGCTGCTCACACCCACCTGGAAGCATGGCAGGAATTACTTCCCTGCAAGGACAATGATGTGCTTGCATCACAGGAAAGAGCTTTGTAAATGCATTTTCTCCTAATTATAGTTATCACAGAGGCTGCTGATGACTCAACKTTCTGCTCAGTGCAAAACAACAACAGCAGAGGTTACACAGGAGGAACCCGGCCTGGCACAAAGGCAGGAGTTAAAACCCTCCTTCCAAAACTAAGGAATAATGGCAAACCAAACATAAGTTTTTGTGGGTGACATCAGCCATCCGAGAAGTTCCACTTCACCAGCATTAACAAATTAAATCTAATGATGAGGGAGGGAGAGGGAAGCTGTGCTACAGATAACCAGTCTAAGCCAGAGCACAGGAAATCACAGCTGCTGCTGTCACTGGTGCCACCACGCCTGATTCACCAGCCACAYCAGGCATCTCCCACTGAGCATCCCTGTGCCAACCCTGGCTACCTGTGACAGCCACTTCTGAGAGAGGGGCAGGTGAATCCCTGGAACTTGTCTGGAGCCACCTCATTGATTAAATTTGTTGCTGTGTGATGGTGGTGGCTCCTCAGTGCCCAGCCCGTGCCCTTCTCCTCAGCAGACACAGGTTCTGCAGGTGCATCCCCTCCTGCCTCACTCAGACTCTCTTCACTGAGCACAGCAGCCATGCAGCCAGAAACACCTCCTGTTTCACAAACCCTCAGCCACCACCCAGACTATAATYAGCTCTAATGACACTTCCTGGGTGGCTTTTTGAGCAGCCCTGTCTGATGTCCTTTGCTTCTCCTCCTCCAAACTCAGCCTTGGGCACTGGGTGGAAATGGCTTCGCTTTGCAGCATCCACTGATTTCCCTGAGACCCAGCTCCCACCAACCAAATGGATCCCCCATTCAGGGCACAGTGGTTAGGATGGATTTTCAAGGATGCCTGAGATCCCCAAAGGAGCAAAACYAAGCTGAGCAGTCTGGCAGTGGAAGCAGAGCCAACACAGGGTATCTTTATTTGCAGTGTGTTTTCCTGCTGGAGGAATTTCTCCAGTAGATGCCACAGAGCAAATATTTATTCAGTTTTATTTCTCTTGACTCGCTTCCCTCCTTTCCCCCAGCCTGCAGGGCTTTGGCAGACACTGCAGGTCACTGTTGAGATGGGCTCTCTGCAGCTCAGGCTGTCAATTAGACCCCAGTTTAGCCCCCTCCAAGGCAAGAGTGCAGCGCCAGGTATTTTCAGGGGGTAAGAGAGCTGAGACTAKGAACAGCCTGTCCCAGCAACAGCTCTTGGCCAGAAGCCATCTGCAAGATCTGTGGGTGTTTTCCATAACTGGAAGGAGAATTGGGAGCTGCAGATCTGCACAGGATGGGCACAGGTACCAGCACAACGCCCACCTCGCGGGGAGGGCACCTCTACCTCAGTTCCCCTCTCTAAAAAGAGATTARAAACAGCTCTGTGGGAGATGCACAGCAAGGAGTCACCCCTCCTGCCCTCAGCCATCAGCAGTGGCCACTGCCCAGACCCTGCAAGAGCCCCGGGGTGGGGTGGGGATGAGCCCCAGGGTGGGATGGGGATGAGCCCCAGGGTGGAGTGGGGATGAGCCCCAGGGTGGGGTGGGGATGAGCCCCACGGTGGGATGGGGATGAGCCCCAGGGTGGGACGGGGATAGGCCCCAGGGTGGGATGGGGATGAGCCCCAGGGTGGGATGGGGATGAGCCCCATGGCAGTACCGAGCCCCCAGCCATGGCAGCAGCTCCAAACACAGGACACCCAGCAGCCCAAGGCCACCTCACAGGGGAATGTCCCCAGCATGGGCAGCTGTGGTGTCCCTGTGCCTGGTCATCTGTCACCTTTGGAGGGAACACTTCCCTCCTCATCACCATTCCCAGCCCTATGGAATCATCCCCCTTCAAGACCACTCTTTTCCATCTTACCTGCCTATAATTTTAATTTACAATCACCTCCACCACAGCCAGGACTGACTGATGTGGCACCAGCACAGCAGCCGTGCAGACACCCCTGTGCCAGGAGATAATACCCAGGTTGTTATTTTTAACCCGGTTTGACAGCCCTTTCACTTCTCACTCTTAGATTTTTCTCAACAATTTCTCCTTCAAAATCTAACATCTTTGTCACAAGAGAGGCTTGGAGTATTTCCCCCCTTTCTCCCCCCCACCCAAATTGATTTTGTCATGCTGCAGACCAGCTCCAAGCTAATGATTTGTCACTGTCAAAAGTAGCTTTGGGGTTTAGAAGAGGGCTGTTGGGTTTTTTGTTTGTTTTTTTTTTTCCCAATCCAGCTAACAGCCAACAAGAGCAGCACAGAGGACACAGGGCTTTTTTTTCCTGGGAAAGCTGTTGGCTTCCTGTTCGCCTCCTGTGCTCAAGCTCCCTCCACAGAGCTGCAGATGGCAACAAAGTGGTGTTCAGCAAGCAAGCTCTGAGTTTATTCCCTCTCTYCATTTCTTGCTTTGGGCAAAAGCAAAGATGAAATTAGATTTCAGCAGCTCATATGAGCTGGAAGTAGTTGTTGAGCCCAGGTGGAGGTGGTGAGAAAACATAATAATAAAGCAGAGGCGTGCTTTGCACACTGATCTGAGGGCATACATGGATCAGCCAGGAATAAAATGTGTGCCCTGCCTGCATTTTCCACGTGAAAAAAGTTCTCAGCAAGGCCACGACTAAAAACAGGAAGAGGAACTTGTAAAACAAAAATCCCAACCACCAAAAACCTCCCAACCAACTAAAGCTGCAACATCATGTTGACAAAAGATGAGGGCACAGAACTCAGAAAAAACAACTGAGTGTTGTCTCTGGGCAAAGATCAGGTGACTGGAGAGCAGCCTGTGGCTGGTGCTTGGACTCCTTTTATCTCTGGAGCTTAAAGGAGCTGCCACAATCACCCTCATTCTTCAGGCACAGCCAAAGGCTGGGAGATGCTGAGTGGTTTCAGGAGTAATYTGCTTCCCAGGACACAGATTTTTTCCTGCTGCACTTCTCTCCTGGAGGCGCCATCGGAAATGTGAGCCCCACATCCACTGCTGGATCTGCTGGTGGCTTTGTGTGTAACCTTCAGCAGSTGATTTCTCTTGTCACTGCTTTGATCTTCCCTCAGAGATGCTTAAACACATCCACTGCCCAAGTGGTCCTGCTTTGGCGTGTTAGGATCGACATTAAGAAACACTCTCAAACTGTCCAGATGTGCTCCATAAGCAGAAGAGCTTTTCCAAGCCTCAAACAGAAATCCCCAAGTGCTCTTCTTGGAAGAGGAAGAGATGTGTGATAATGAAGCCACTGGAAACCTGCAGAAAAGTTTGGGAAAGGCAGGCAGGAGAAGACACAAGGCAAGAACAGTGGAAGAGGAAGGAAAAGCCAGTTGAGAAAAGGGAGGACAAAAGAAGACGCAGCATGAACAAAGATGGAAAAATAAACCTGCCAAGATAACCTTTTATCTCTCCTTGCACTGACAGATCTTGGAAGGCTGCCTGGCATGTCTTTTGTTGGAGCATAAAAGGAGAACCCGTGTCATTCCCCCACCTGATAACACCTTGACACCATGGCAGTAACTCACTACTTAGAGACTATTAAAGTTATTTATTTGCATATACTGGTTATAAACCGTCCAGCAAATTAAATTCAAACCACCCAATGAGGTATTTTACACAACTGGACCAATCTGCTCTCCTGATCTTGTGGATCACTCCCCCTTTCTGCTCCCCCTTTCTCACCTGCCCAGTTGTTCAATTTAGCCCATAAAACCTCCATAAAACGTCCCCGTGTCTACACTAAACAACGGGTAAATGATCTCAGCTCCTGYGAATTACAGCAATATAGATAATGATCTGATGGGCCTTGGGGTTATCCTGCTGTTCCTTCCCATTAACAGGATTCTCTCAATTATTAGCAGCACTTAACATGGTCAGAATCACTCAAAATGTCTGTCTTAATCAACAGACAGATCACAATCCTTTTTGTTTTGGAAAGTTTTATCTGTAGTTTGCATTTTTCGAACAGATTTGGGAAACAGGAGGGCTTGTTCTGGTCACATGTTTTTGGTTTTTTTTTTCCTTAGGGGAAAAATATAAATGTAAGTTTTGCTTCATGAAAATCTGGTGTGGGGTCCTACTGCTCCCACTTCAGAAAGACTTAGGAAAAGTCAGCAAGAGGAAGACAGAGAGAAGGAATTTTCCTAAGTGCTTTAAGGGGAAAGAATCTGAAAAAAATGTTAAGTGTCTCTGTGTCAAAGGTCTTCTTTGAGACCCACCCCTGTACTCTTAAGGTGAGTGTGGATTCGAGGAGCCTTCCCAATCTCTGACTGCAGGAAAAACCACTCCGGGGACGGCGGTTTAAAGCTGACAATCAGCCCGCTGCCACAGCAGAAATGATGATAACCAACTTATCCAGCAGCTGCTGGAGGGGCAGTGCCATCCCTTGGCCTCGTGTTCCTGTGCAGTGCACGAGTGTCACCTGTCCTGTGGCTGTCCCGCTGCTCTCTGCCAGGATGAGCTCCACGGTGACACCSCAAGGCGAGGGGCAGAGGGGAGAGCCAGGGCTGGCCACCGACAGCAGTCAGCTGAAAGCGAGCCACATTTCTAAAGCACAGGGAGGCCAGGAGCTTCCAGTTTGAAAACATCTCTGACCATGCCTTGCAGCTGCCCCACTGGTACTTGGGAATCATTGTATCACCCCACCTCAGACGGGAGAAGCGGCCAATTTTGAGGTCTTGTGCTGGATGACTTTCCCAGAGCAGCACCGCCCCAGGTAACCCTGCCTYTGCCTGTGGCCCTGCTGTTAAAAGTGGTCATTTGGGGTTTAACTGGATTTTAAGTATTTTAATGACTTCACATCATGAGCAGTTCAGGCTGTCTAGCTGCTGCCCAGCTCCTATTCCAGACTTTATCTTAATGAATGACTATCGATAGTACAAACATTCCCGCTGGAACACTTCGATAAGAACCTCATAACGGTTTTGTGTTTAATTCACGGATTGCAGGCCAGAAATAAGCTCAATAGATTTTTTTTGGGTTTTTTTTTTTTTTTTTTCTCCCCTGTTTTTCACAGTATTTCCCTATCTTCCCCCTCGCTTCTACCGTCTCTGCCGGGGTCCGGAGGGGTGTGACAGCGGGAGCCGCCGGGGGCGGTGGGACCGTGTCCCTCCCGGAGGGCAGCGCTGAGCCAGGGACAGGAGGGTCTCATCCCGACGGGGAGCACAAGGAAAAGAGCGCTCCGGGCCGCCCGACCCCCTCCATCCCGGAGCCGCATCTTTCCCGGGGGCTGCGGGAGGCGGGGGCGGCGGGGACCGAGGATGCGGTGGGTACCGGRGCCGGGGGGATGCGGGGAGTCCCGGGAGAGCGCCGCAAGCAGGGGAGCGGCTATCCCGGCAGCGGCCATCCCGGCAGCGGGTCCAGCCTTACCTGGACCAGAAGGGCTCGGCGCCGCCATCCCGCCTCATGCCGTCGCGGGGGCCGCTGCCCAGGGGCACATTCCTGCCGCCGCCCCCCGCGGCCATGCGGGCAGCGCCTTCCGCCTCCCCGGCTCACATCGCGGCGGCCGCCGGCTCCCTCCCTCCCTCCCTCCCTCCCTTCCTCCCCCGTCGGGCCGCGGCCACGTGTCAGCGCCTCCCGCCGCCCCCGCCCGCCGTGCCGGGAAGTCCCGCCCGGCCCGGTGCCGGTGCTGCTCTCTGTCCCCGGGCGGTCTCGAACCCGCGGAGCCGGAGGGGTCGGGCCGGGGCAGGTGGTGGTCAGTGGCGGCGGCGTTCACCCCCTCCAGCAGCCACGGACCGGGCGGTTCTGCTCGTCCCTTCTCGTCCGGTTATTGCTGACTCCCCCATCGGCGACAGGAGAGCAAGGAAAAGGGCTGACCAGGGTCTCTCCTCCCGCTACCGTATCTGAGAAGGGAATCGCTCCCTGCTCCCGCAGCTCTCACAGGTTTGCCGGCAGAAAAGTCTCTGCCTCTGCTTTTTAAGGATTAGAAGGCAGTATGACATTCCCCTCCAAAAAAGAACCAAGTAGGGATAAGTATTGTTACAACTTAAGTCTGTTGGATAGAGGCGCTGCCTTGCTGTGAATATCTGAAAGAGATCATCAAACTCCTTTATGGAAATAAATAATTAAAAYGATGGTTATCTCAGCCCACACATTTRAAGAACATGAACGAGCAGGCGGAGRAGCTTTGTTAAGGTATTGTTCAGGTGATGCTGTGGCCGATTGCAGGCTGGAAGTGAATGGCAAAACTTCAGGTCGGCAGAGGATGGAAGAGCTCCTCCAAAGCCTGAGCAAGGTCGTACATGGCCCCTGGGAAAGGTATCAGAGCTGCTGGACTGCACCAAAACGCGCAGGTGCAGAGCAGACACCTCCTGTCTTCTACTCTGCAGCCAGAAACCTCTAAATCCTTGGTGGAATTAAGTCTTTAGCAAACTAGTATTTAGGTTACTCAAACATCCTTCTCCCAACATGAATCCCTTGGCAGCTCCCTGATGAACAGTTTGCCACATACATCAGAAGGGATAACATTATTGAGCCAACCTTTGGGAGTGAAATAGGAAAAAGATTCCTCACACACCAAAGTCAGCTCCAGGAAAAGGAGGTTGCTGAAAAAGCAGAAATCATGAAGTCATACTTTATCCTTTGCTTTGGTATTTTTTCCTCAGAAAAAAATGAGATCTTCCCCAAAAGGCCTGTGGCACAGTCAGGCACAGTCACACAGACCTGCTGCCTACAGAGAAAACAAATACAACGAGCTTTGCTGCAAGCAGAAACCGAGGGGAACCTCGTGTAGTAACCACGTGTTAGCTTTTCATTTACTTGGAGGCTTTCCTCCCTTTATTTGGGCAGGAAATTAAACTGTAAAGTATTTTTATTCACTCTGCTACTGTGCCCGTTTCCAGAAGAGGGAGCCAAGTCATGGCAAATTACAGCCAAAAATGTAAACSATTGTTCAACGTATTTTGTTTTTTTAAAATTGTGTGTATGTTTGGAGTTAAAGCAAAAGGGGAGATGAGCTCTGATGTAACTACAGAAGTGAAATGCATGTAATAAGCTCAGAAAAGAACTGAAGAGGCTTTGGGCATGGTAGAGTAACCAGAGAYAGAGAAAACTGAATAACTCATACCCAGGTATGAGTGATCCTGTGTTCAGTCTCAGCACTGAGAGGTGCAAACACCTCCAACACTGACACTGCAACACTGAATCACCATTTTAGTGAGTTAGTCAATTTGGAAACCAAGCACAAATTTTCCCTATTTTTGTCCTGAGTGTCACCTCTTCAATTAAGAGCTTGACTAATTTGCCTCTCAGATGAGGAACTACTCTCACTGTCCAAACCAGCTGCAGTTGAAAGAAGTGTTCGAGTGTAACATCTATCACATGCACATAAGTTCAAAGAGTAAAAACWCCGACATAATTCCTTTTACTGCTGTATGATTTTCTGTAAGCAAACATCCCTCCAAGCTGATTAAATGGCAAATGGAATCAGCTCAGAAGACAGGTGCTGACTAAAGAAAATAATCTTACAAAAGAGCATAACCTTCTCTCATTTTTCCTGTGTTCAGCTTAATCTGTCAAAAGATTAAACCAAACAAAAGATTATTGGGTTAATATTTGACCTGACATTTACTATCACTGCAGTTTATCCATACAATGGTGGAATTATTTGAAGATTTCATGAAGTTAAGCACAGATTAAGATCAAATCCTGAAAGGGTGTGAAAGGAGCAATAGGCTCMTAAGTTCCACAAAGGACAATTGTCTCCTGAAAGGACAGTCTGGCTGCAGCTTAAAATCTCCCTAACCCAGAGCAGCTTCAATGCAACTTCTCCACAATAAAGCAAGCACACGTGGGTTTCTACTGCTAAATAATCCAACTTTGCAAAATTGCCAGGCAGCAATACATTGGAAAAGAAGCAAGTTATCAGAGAAGTTGCCAAGTTGAGCCTGCTTGTAAAGGAACAGCAACTTCCATGCAGGAACTCATCCAGGTGGGATAAGGTAGCRGGGTATTACTGGAATGCTCATATAACACAGAAAGCATGACAGAACATGCAGGGCTTTTTGGTCTGAGGTGCCTGAAAGCATTAACATGCAGCCCACCAGTGGTTTGACCAAYTTCATGCTTCATTTAATCATAAGAAGGCAGGAGGCGAGCAGAAAGGAATGAAAACAGTTTGTAGCACCTTGAGATGCCCATGGAGAAGTAGAAATCCTTTTGAGGGTGCTGTTCATGAGCTTTGTGTTGTGTCTCTRCTCAGCTGAGCACACAAAGCACCCAGCAGGGCTGGGGACACCACTGCTCACACAACAGCTACAAACCCTCCTCGTCCCTTTGTGTTAAGGACATCAGAGCAGAAACAATTCCTGACRTGACATGGCTTCTGGAGGGAAGAGATATCTACAGTGCAGGTCAGAACCTGCAGCCTCAAGGCAGATTTAGGGCAAACAGGACTCCATCTCCTGTTCTATTCTGGCTCTCAAGGATGCTCTCAGCTGTGGCTGACAGCAGTAGAACCATTTCCCGTGAAGACACAACACACAGGGATCCAACTCCATTTAATGAGCTTTGTAACCCACTTGGACACAAGGTGGTTTGAAATAAGTCGAACAACACTCAGCTAGTCAAGGATTTTTTTTAAGTAATGCCTTTAAGCTTATACTCAAGCATACAAAGCATAAATTTTACAAATTAAAAACGATAAAATCACCCTGGAATAATGTAGTGGCTTTTCCTGTATTTACAAGGAGTGGAAAGGAGGCAGGAATTATTTTCAATTTTTCTTTTAATGTGGGTGGAAGAAGCTCAAAAGTGTTTCAATGAAATCATCTTAGAGAGAGGTACTTCACCTGGCTTGAAGGTGTATGTTTGCCTCTTCAAAAGTCTTGAGAGGAAATGCTTTACTCAAAATTCTGCTGTTAAGTTTCTGTGCAGCAGCCTCTGCTTTTCCAGCTAAATAAAAATTAAGCAGTTAAGTATTTCTCAAAGTATCACCACAACTTCATCCTCAGCAAAGCCTGTGATCCCCTACCCTTCACAAATCCCTCCTTTGTACAACAGAAGCAGCCACAGCTCAGCATAGATTTGACAGGCATAAACAAAACACGGGAACAGCAAAAACRTTACAGGGAGGTGCTGGCTTTGGGAAAAGGAGGGAGATTTGTAGCCTAATCAAAACACACTTCCTATGCAGCTTTTCTGCAGAGGTATATGACRGGATATTTTACAGTCCAGCTTCTCCACATCCATAGCATCAACGAAAAATTCTAATTTGCTTTCACCAAAGGCAAGGCTGGGGAAGGATGAGTGCACCACCTTTAATGACCAGATCTGTTTGCCAATGTTGAGTTTGGAACAAATATTCTTACAAAAGTTCTTTTCATATTGTTCTAAATTCAGTGGAAACAAAATATGTATTTTTACACTAGAGCAAACTGATCAAAGTGGCATTTAATAGTATTTGTTAAAGTGGTTATCTAACAAAAATGGGTTAACAAAAGCCCATTCATTAGTAGTCACCAAATAAGACACTTCTCATGCATATGACAAAAGTTCATTTGTGTACTGAGACATCTGTTTACTGTGTACAATATTTCCATAATATGTTTCACAGCCCCTACCATTCAAGAATATTTCAAACAGATTATATATTATATTTGTATATGCAAACTATTTTATATACACTAATATAAAGATCCTTAGAAGTACCAATATCACTACCTTTATGCTTTCTCTAAAATGCATAGCTTTCGAATATCTTCTTGCAGTTACCAAAAACTTTACAGATTAAAGCTGCTTATCAATGTGGCATGTTCATTAAAAACAAAGTGAAATAGTTCTAGACTAATTTTATATTAAACCCCTTAAAAAACGTGTTTATTTTTAATGGAAAAAAACAACAAGCTAGTGGAAATTCAAGTAATCTATGCTCAATCATTGCCCAAATACTCTATGGAATTAAGGTAGCGTTCTAGGAGGACAGTGAACTTCTCACCCAGGGCTGTAATACTGCATTTCTCATGGAGAAAAATGCTCATCATGCCACAAAACCACACCACTTTCCACTTGACCCAAGAGAAGCTTTACAGGAGATTCAACAACACAAGTGTCAGAACACAGAGGAAAAGCTGATCAGTTCTACATGAAGAAATTAGAGCTATTCCAGTTTTGTTTCTGCAGTTTGTTATTAAACAAAGTTACATTAACCATACAGTTTCTCACAAACTAAAAGTTATACATGGTTTTCAGACATCAACCGACTTCAAAAAGAAAAAAAAAATAATTAAAAAAAACCCCAAAACAACCAAACCCACAACTGTTAAACGTTTGGTGTTAGAATAACCAGCCTGGGTAAAGGAAAGCCAGACTGCTGCTGTAGCTGGGGGGCTACCGACAGCTTGTTTGTTATATATAAACTTGAAGACCTCCCTAGCACAAATGCCTCAGAGTGGAGAACAGAACGATCAGTAAGAAATGGGAACAAATGATTTTGTCACATCCATCATCTCGCTTAACCTTGGCGCTCTGCATCTCTCACAGCTGCTTCACAAACAATGGCTTCCCCCCCCAAAATAG